TTTAAAGTATTTTTTAAAAGCTATAATTATATTTAATATTATAACCTTATTTTTAATAAGGCTATAGGTATATTCTTTAAGGCTTATATTAATAAAAGTAATAGTATAGACTTAATCTTATATTTATTTTTAAATAAGATTTTTTATAGTCTTATTATTATAAGCCTTAGTTAGGATAAAACTATTTCTTTAGCCTTCTAATAATAATCTATTAAGATTATTAAGTCTTAATATATTAATTATTTTTAGCTTCTATTTAACCTAGTTATTTTTAGATTTAAGCTTTAAGATATTTAATACCTCTTTTAGTATTAAAAATATAATACTAAATAATAAAGTAGGTAATAAGGCTATAAGAAGATCTTAGCTTATATATAAAAGTTAAGTTATTAATAATACTACCTACTAAAGAAGTAGAACTTTAAAATAATAAGGAGAATAATAGGCTAAGTATATAGTCTTTCTTTTTAAACTAAATACCTTATATTTATTTAAAAATAAAAAGTATTTAAGTAAATAATAAGGAATTCTTCTTATTAAATAAGTAGTTACTATATACCTTTTATAGTAGTTAAGACTATAGATTATAGTAAGTAATTTAATAAGTATATTTAAGACTATAGATTATAGTAAGTAATCTAATAAATATATCTATTTAAAGGTTATAACTATATTAAGTAAATTTATATTATAATATATATAAAATAAGTATATAGAGTTTATATATAAATTACTAGGTAGGGTATAGTAGTAGAATTTCTTTTTCTTTATATAGAATTTTTATAGTAGATAGACTTATTAAATATATTCTAGATTAGCTAGAGTTTAAGGTCTTTCCTTTTCCTATATATAAGGAGTTATAAATTTCTTAAGTTTTATAGTAAATATTAGCTTATATAGATAGTAGGTAAATTTAGTAAGAAATTAATACTTTTTTTTATTTTATTAGTAGCTTTTATAATATAAGTATTACTAGGCTTATAACCTATTAAGACTAATAGGGTATATATAGAGTAAGAGGTAAAGTTATTATATTATATATCTCTTCTATCTAGTTATATAGTATAGGTAAGTGCTAGATATACTAAGTAATGGGAGATTGTTCTTTTAGCTTTAGAGCTGCCTATTATTAATATATTATAAATAAATTATAAGAACTTTTAAAATTACTTTAAGGTTTATAACTAAGTAAGAATATACTACCTTAAAAAAATAGAGAATTCTAAATACTTATTAATCTTAATATAGATAAAATAGAATAAAATAAAGAATAAAATAAAAGGGTAGATTAAAGTCTATTCTAATAAATTCTAAATTAATTTAAAATTACTTTCTAATACTATTTATATTTAATAAGTATATAGTTAATAACTAATATATAGATAGTTAGGAACTAATATATAAATAGTATATATAGTAAAGAAAATCTTATAAAATTAGAAAATAAACTAATTTTATAGAGAAAAGAGAAGGATTCTATTAAATATAAAAAGAAGAAAGCCTATAGTACTTTAGTATCTTACTTCTCCTATATTCTATTCTCTTATTACTTAAATTTAGTAATAAAGTCTTTCTTAATATATTTAGAACTAATTTAAAACTAATTCCTAATAACTTCTATATAGTATTAACTTTCTAATATATTAATTAGTTAGAAATCCTACTTTAGTAGATAAGTTACTATTTTAGTAAATAGCTAGCCTTTAGTAATATATTTATAGGCTAGTTATTTATTAGTTTTCTTAGTTTTAGTTAGGAATTTATTAGCCTTAGTAGGTTAATATATTCTAGGTATTTTAGTTAGTTTATAACTTACTTACTCCTAATACTATAAGTATTAGTATTTCTTATATTTTTACTAGCTAAAAAAATTTTCTTAGTAAGGTAGTTATATATATAAATAATTTCTAACTAGTTCTAAATCACTATATAACTAGTTTAGAATTAGTTCTTTTAACCTATATAATAATAATTTAATAGTCTATTTCCTACTAAATAATTAATTATAAATTAATTTATAATAAATTCTAACGCTTTTAAGGCTTACTTTAATAGTAGGAAGTAGCTATTAGTAAGCTATTTCCTACTACTATAGTAGAATAAGGTAAGTAATTCTTAATTAATTATAAAATAGTTTTAGAATATATTCTAAACTAATTATAAATAAATTATAAAGTAGCTATATAATCCTTACCCTAGGTAAGGTTTATTATTACTAGTATAAAGATAATAACTTATACCTTATAGTAAGTAATTAGGAATTAATTTAATATTTATAATTAATTTATAATTAATTAGAGTATACTATTTTTAAACTATTCTAACCTTTACTATTACTATATAGAGGTATATAAGATATAGGTAGAGGAGTAGTGCCCTAATGCTAATAATTTAGCTAAAAAGACTAAATTAGTTAGTAAGTATTTCCTAATTGATTTTTAACTAGTTATATTAATTCTAATTAATTCTTAACTATATTCTTAATTAATTAGGGATTAGTTATAGCAATCCTAATTAATTCTTAACTATATTCTAAATTAATTAAGAATTAGTTATACTAATCTTAATTAATTCCTACTATATTCTAAATTAATTAAGAATTACTTATACTAATCCTAATTAATTCCTACTATATTCTAAATTAATTAAGAATTACTCCTACTAATCCTAATTAATTCCTACTATATTCCTAATTAATTAAGAATTACTCTTACTAATCCTAATTAATTCCTATTATATTCTTAATTAATTAAGAATTACTTATATTAATTTTAATTAGTTTAAAATTACTTATTAACCTATTTAGCTTTTTTTTAATTAATTATTAATAGGTTCTTACTACTTAATACCCTATATAAGGCTAAGGTAGCTAACCCTAGCCTTATCTCCTTATTTTAGGTATTAGTATTTACCTTAGTAAGTAATTAGTAATTACTTTATAATTTAGAATTAATTCCTAATTAATTATAATAGGCTAATAATAACTAGGAGGAGGAGGAGGAGCCTTTAGAGAATAAGGTATATAAGAAACTAATTTTAAATTAATTAATAACTTAATACTAACTAATTCTATAGGCTAAGGATATAATAGTATTAAAGTAAGAATAGTATAAAGTATATAAAAAAATAATTATAAATTAATTAATAACTAAATACTAACTAATTCCTTAAAGTACTATAGGTAATAATAATAATAATAAGGTATATAGGAAAATAATTAGGAATTAATTAATAACTAAATACTAACTAATTCTATAGCCTAACTCCTCT